CCGCTTGGCACATGGTAAAGAAGGTATGGGGCCAGTCCCTTGCCCAATCAATCGGAGTGCGCTTCATCTGGATCATATGGTTAGCCACAATTGCAAGCTTCCGAAACCGTGGAGCTGGGCCCTGGGTCTTAACCCGCTCCACCTTCCAGCCATTCTTTTGGCTGTTGAGCCAGTTCTGGTCAAGCTCGACCTCAAGCCCCCAGTTCTCCTTCGTGTAGCCTNTGATGCTTGATATATTCTGAAATACCGTGTTGATCTCTTGGCCCCGGCCCTTGCCCTTCGGCCCCTGCATCTTGCCTATCTTCCATAGGGCAAACCACACAAACAAATTGGAATCAAATTTTATCAGCTCTGGAGTTGGTCCACTTTCATGCACCCGCACAGGTTTGACATCATACTCATCACAAAAGGTGAGCCATCCGTCCTTTCCTGACCAAGCTGACTTTTGATTCCTCTTCGTGCTTTCGGCACGGTCGTTGGCTTGCTTCGCCACCACTTGGTTGCCGATCGCTGCCTGCTCTCCCGTGAGGCCCACAGTCAGGCGTGCCATAAATTGTGCATCAGACTTGCTGTCTGCTTGCTCAGTTGTCATGCCCGTACTCCATAACCAATCCCGGCCATTCGCAGGTGCCGCCGGCTCCCCCATCTCCGCAGGACCTAGTCGCGTGCCTGAGAAAGGGCCATCTTATGGTCGCGAACCATCATAGCCAAGGGAACGAGGAGGTCATGGAGCGACTTATCAAACTCTAAACGAATGGGTTCCATGAACCCATACTCTCTGGCCTTCTGGCGGAAGGCCTCCAAATTCTGGCGACTTAAATCGTCAGCCATGCCATTAACCCAGCCGGCAAAATGCCGTGTAATCGCTTCCATGTTATGCTGAGCCAAAAATTCAAAACGTCTCATCGATAACTCGTATAAGACTGGGTCGGAAGGTGCGGACCCATTGAGTGCGAAAACGACGCCCGCGTTGTCGCACTCATCATACATTTGGTGCCCCTCCACCAAGGTCCAAAAATGG